TGTACTGTATCCAGTCGAGCCATTGCATCAGAATCCAAACAAAAGAAAGAAAAAAGGAAAAACACCTCCCCAACGTGTCTACTAGGAGTGGGGGGTGTATAGACGAGCGCACATCATAGTACGACATATAGACAAATCACGGTACTGGTTACCTGTATATATGTATATATATATGATACAGCTAAGTTATTCGAATCTGGTGCAGCGGAATTCCGGTAAATCGAACATTGCAATGCTATCGGGGGTACCTGCACACCCCTCCCTGTCTGTGGGTTAACTAACCAACTAACCAACTAACCTACCCCGGGCGGGGGTTTTGGACGCCAATTGGTGGTTTCCGGGCTTTTAAGGTGAATTATTGGTGCGCTTTTGCGGTCCGTTTTGCCTGTCCGACTATGATAGCTCCCCAGCCCGATGGGATACATTGTGCTCCGGTACTGTCGTGAGATGGAGGGTTCTATGGGGAAGGGGTGAGTTTGTCCTGGTGGGTGCTGGTCTTGTGCTTGTGCTGTGATGTACTGTACTGTACTGCACTGTGCTAGGGTGTGAATGTATGCCTTGTTGGTTGGATCTGGCGGTTCCCTGAGCTTGGTCGTGGTTATAGAGGCTGGGCTATCATACTTACTTGACCTTTGCATTGCGCACCTAGCACCATGGACGACGTTACTCGTTTATACGTACTGTATAGTGCTTGTGCTGTTGCTTATCACATGCGACGCGCAGTCCGTTTCTGGATGGCGGGGGGGCGTGGATTTCCACAGCTGTCCGTACCGCTAAGCTCCATCTCCGACATCCTACGGCAGGCAGGCGCTTTTCAATACAGAGCCCGTACAGCATAGTTCGCACTGGACCATGTTACACCCATCTCGGGTGCAGCAGGGGCAGTCTTACCTTCCGTCTTTAGCTACAGGTATGAGATAGCATGCCGTGTTCCTACATGGGTCTCCCAATTGCCTCGCCAGCACTTGCTGCCCTCTGAAGAATAAAAGAAAAATATGCCGCTTTTTATGATATTTGTACAGACACAGCCCAAATTTCCCTCATTGTCCAGAGCTCATAGATGAAGGAGAGTGAGGTTTTTTTTGTTATTTGATACCTCCCGGAGGACAGAAAAAACCATGTTATACCAAACAAATGTTGAAGGAGAATACTGCACAAACTACTCCGTCTCAGGTTTAGCATCTTCAGCCTCCCCCTCCCCCTCCCCCTCCTTCTCCTCCTTCTCCTCCTCCTTCTCCTCCTTCTCCTCCTTCTCTCCCTTCTCCTCCTTCTCCTCTTTCTCTTCCTCCTTTTCATCCTCATCAAAGCTCTTCCCTTCAACGAGATCAGGGATGTCATCGTCATCGTCGTCGGAATCACCCTCCTTCTTTTCGCCCTCCTCGCCCTCCTTCTTCTGGAGTGACTGGTAGCTCTCGGCCAATTTCCTCAAAGATGCAAGGGAATCGGGACCGAGCTGGTTAAGGATACCGGGAACAAGCTCAGTGAGCTCCTTGTCTTCGCCATTGCCATAGATGGCGAAGGTGTTGGCAGGAACCGAGGCGTGCACTAGACACCAAATAAGATTAAGCAACCACTTCAGGCTCTGGATGATGCCCGGTTCGTGCGTTCTGGAAACCGGGGTTATGCTTGCTACACTAACCTTTTGGTGCAGCAAAGTGGATAACATTTCCGTCCTCCTTGAACATGTTCACCTCCTCGATGGCCTGAATGGGCTGCACATTCAATTTCTTGAGGGAGGTCTGAAGTTTCTTGTCATCGGTACCAGCGTTCTTGTGGATCTTCTTGACCTTTCTCCTGGGGGTACCCTTCCCACTGGAAACCGTCGACCATTGTCAGCGTGCCGTACTAGAAAACCACAAATTCCAACCACAAGAAAGAAAGAATAAATAAATAAATAAATAAAAACAATGTATCTGTAGACCGGTGAGGCAGGACGGCGGATATTTACCCTAGAAAGTAGAAAACGGTCAGTCAGTTTCCGTCCCTACCAAAAAAAAAAAAACCTCCAGCTCTTAACCAGAATTACCCCTCTCCCAGCCAGCCCAGATTTCGCGCTCCTCCACCTTGCAGAAAAACAAAGAGAATCAGAAATCCCCACAATAGCATAAAGCAAGAGAAAAAACATACCAATTCGAACAGACGCCTGAAGCTTAGCGAGTTTTGCGTGATCCATGGTGTGAGAGGTAAAAGTGTTGGAAAGTGTTGGAAGTTTTGAAAGTTAGAAGGCTAGACAGATAGAGTTTCCCCCACCGCCAAGGTTAGCCCCACCAAAAAAAAGAAAGAAACACCCAAGCCCAGAAAACCCTAGGTGAAGGGGAGGATAAGGAGAGAAACAAACCTCAAAAAGTCTCCGTGCAAGAAAGAAAATAAGTGGGAAAACGATTCGCGTGTTTGCAATTAGTAGAAATGTGCACGAGGAAGTGATGAAGGGGCAAGTAGATAGAGCCGAGTGTGGTATTATGAGAGTTTGATTTGGCGGGGGCGTTGGAACGTGAAGTTATGTCAAAGTTTCAGCGGCGGCAACAAACACGCCTTCTCATCCTATGGCAAGGTGAGCGCGGTAGGCTAATTACGGTGTCCCAGCGCCTGGAACAAAGTGATTGTGACTGCTCAACACCCCCCCCAAACGCACGCACAGAATACGCATAATATCACAAATTAATTATTTTCATCCCCCCCCCGTAATGGGTGGTATGGGCATGGTAAGTTACGCATAATTCGTGGACCCTATTTATTCCCGGGGCAGTCCGTTATCGTAACTTCCCCCTCTTTCCCCCCCCCTTTCCACTTTCAAGACGCTAGGGGGACTCTTTCGTCCATCTGAGTATGACATGAAAGGAATGTGGGCGCGGCAGCGACGGAGATAATTTGGAAGCATGATACTTTTACCACGAGTATTATCATAGCCCAGAAAGATGGACGCCACTCCACAATATTTCGGCATGACCAAGACCTGCGGTATCATACCGGTACCATACAACGGAAGATATAACACAGTCGGTGCCTAACCCCCCCCCCCCCCACACACAAGGGCCGACCCGTCGGAGGTACTGTTCATATAAGCCGCATTCCGTCGATACAAATTTTGAGCATGATATAATGCAATACTGGTATGGCACATGTAAACTACCTACAGGACGATGACATGAAGAACCAACGCTCTTTACTCCCGATCCATGTAGCTCCCTATACCCCTCCTGCCTTCCTTCCTTCCTTCCTTCCTTTCCTTTCCTTTCCTTTCTAGAATCCTTGGTCCTTATCCCCCTCCGATCTCTCACCCCACGCGTGGGCACTCGACCTCCAACACTGCTGGCCGACCGGTTCCTCGAGTGATATGCCGTGACAGGTGCAACCAGCCAGACAGCCAGCTGTTGGACTATGATAGGCCATGGGTTTCTAGAGGTCGGGATATGGATCCCATATTCGCGTATCGTACTTGTATTGTCACGTATTCTGAGATGCGTTCTGTGCCGATGTGGTGCGATAGCCTGCTGGAGTACCGGCATAGTGCAGTACGGTACGGCAGGTCACAGGTACCCTTTTTTTTTCTTCGCCGGGAGCAGGTCGAACAAATAACGTAATTTCACCGTAACCAGCTTCACAAACTACGAGTACAAGTATCATAACGAAGGAATACGGAAGAACCTTATCCCTGTTCTGTCATACTGTATGATACCTGTAAAACACTCGTTCCAGCGCCACAAAACCACCAGGAGCGCCTCAGGATCCAACAGGTACCGTAGATGATACATGTACCGTACCTACCTGCCAGTCTCCAACCCCACCAGCCACACAGCCATCCAGCACAAGGAAAGCCCAAAATGAATTTTCTTGGCACCACCCCACCACGGCCTGACACCCCTCGTCAGTGATGACGTACCACCGCCACGCCATCGTCATCGTAACCACCTCCCCGAACCTGGAGCTCACCTATAAAAACCTTAGCCTCTCATCCGCCGAACCCACCTCGTAAAAGCAATAACGAGAAAAGAAAAGAATTCCCCTCTTGTTCACACCACCGCGAAACAAAACAAACACACGCAACCTCCCTTCTTTCGCTTTCCGCAGCTTCACAATATAGACTACGATAGCTAAAATGCCTCTCGTCGTCCCCGGTATCAACTCGAAAGACACATCCGCTCTCAACGCCAACACCGTGAACCCGGTTATCCCCTCGGAGGAGACGATCAAGACCGGTGTTTTTGATAAGGAGGGGAGGGACAAGGATGATGATGATAAGCCCGAAGCTGAGCAGTTCCAGGCTACGCCTGGCCCCGTCGTACCGGAGGACACCTCTGCCCTTGGGGAGAAGGTCAGCCGCGAGGAGCTACACGCTAGAGCTCAGGAGTTGAATAAATAAACAGATAGAGGCGGGAAAAGTGGGGATTTCTACAGAATGGGGATCATGATGGTGATTTGGGGTTTTTAACTGTGTCATTGCTCTTCTTTTTCGCCTCCTCTCTTTTTCCCCTTTTCGATGTTTGGAGGGTGCTACCAGGTTTCCGCGTATTGCAACTTATTATTGCCCTTTTTCCCGTCTTCGCCTCCAAATAACCAATGAGTTTTAAGTCCCTACCGTTACTATAGTCACGTGAAAACTGTGCGCTCAACTTTGAGGTCATCACGGTATTGGTACTGCACCCAGATAGTGTATTTCTCTTTAGCCCTTGATATCTAGTGCCATAACCAGAGATATAAAATAACTTTAAAATCTAGCGGAACCCCCTCCCAAGCATTCTTTTATGAGCTTGTAGGTGGTAACTTTGTGTGCAACCACATTTCCATATCCGCAATCTCCTGGGGATCTGCGCTATGATCAAGCCGGGGGTATGAGTGCCATTCCACATTGTGGCCCAACCTGTCCCGCAAAATCTCCCTAGTTCTCTCTCCCCAGCGGTATTGAACCACTCTGTCTATCTCCCCATGAGCTTGGAAGATGTCGGTCTCTTTGTTCTCCTCAGAGGCCAGGGACTCAATCTTCTGGTTCAAAGGGAGCCAAGTGGAGAGTCCAACAATGCCGCCGAGCTTGTGCTTGGAAGTAAGACCAGCCTATTGACACATCAGGAGTTGGTATTGATCTTAAATGAGGGCTGTGGGTGACGCGGATACCACAAGAGCAAGTGCACCGCCTTGCGAGAATCCACCAAGAATAATCCGTTCACTGGAAATTCCTTTATCAATCTGCTCTTGGATGATTGCCTGAATCTTCCCAGAACTCCCCAGTATCCCAGCTTCGTCTTCAGCAGCCTGAATATCTGTGAGAGAGACCTTGAAGATCATTAGGTATCACTCGTTCAAAAGGTCTGACGATCTGTTGGCGAGATTAGAGGCACTAACAATATTAAACCAGCCAGGCATTCTCATACCCATGTTCTAACGAAGAGTCAGCTTGTTGGCCTGCTACATTCTATCTTGCAGGGCTGGACCGCATAGGGTCAATTGGGGGGGTAAAAACTCACTAGGGTAACCGGAATCATCGGGGCGTGCGGAAAAATGAAACAGCATTCATCAAATTTCCTCCGGAGACGAAAATTCTCGGACACGGAAGACCTAGACACAATAGCTTCTTAGAAACTACCGACCCATGTATCGAATGAGGTTTCGTGGATAAATATAGCGGTGATCCACTGCAAGGGGCAGAAAGAGCCAAAAAAAAACATACCATCCGGCACCGCTGTCCCCAAGGCCATGAAGAAAGATAAATCTATAAGACGATAGAAATGAGACATTGGAATAACGATTGGAAGACTAGAGGAGGGGGGAGGCAAATACGTGGCAGTGTGTCTGGTGGCAGCCGGAACCACGATGGCCGCAGCACTAGTCATAGCGGCGGGTGCGGAGGTGGGCGCAAAGGTAGGTCTTGTTACGATTTTCACCTCTTTCAGCGGAGAAGTATGGTTGATTAGTGATAGCGGAGCGAAGGCGGAATGACAGCAAAGGTAGGAGATTGCCGAGATTATAAGTGGGAGAAGGTAAAGTGGGTTTAGATATGAGGGGAAGGGCATCGGCCTGCTAAGGAGGAAGAAGGGTGCGGAGGAAGACAGTGGTGATAGGGCAAGTTTACCATCCACCAGACTAGCAAAACAAATCACTATCATAATGATATTATCATACAAGTTAGAGGTTAAGTTACTGTACGGTAGTGTATTATACTGTACATACTGCTGTATTCTACGCACTACGCCGTATCTCACGTTACAGAGATAAGCAGGGCCCCGCTCCAGACTTTAGGATATCAGAATTCGCGGAGAAGCCTTAGGCAGCCGAGTTATTAATTTATATAAGTACTTGTACTGTAAATATTCGTGCATGCTGTCCTGTACTTGGACATGGGTACACATGATAAAGTTAGTGAACGGTTAATCCAGGTAAACCTGCAAAATAATCCCTGTCGTGTACGAAAACATCACTCCCGGCCCTTGTGCGTATGTTACGGCACAGCGATACTTGTATACTCGAGTACCAGTACTGTATGGAGTACTGCAGAAATCGGCTATCATATCATGCAGTAATCACTGCGGACGGCTCGTTGTCACACCCGATCATATCATGGGAAGAAGCACCAAAATACGGTCGTCTTGGCAGCCACTTCAAGCCCAATAAGCAACTCTTAGTGGAGCCTCTGCCGCCTCCACATTTCGTCTCATTCCTCTCCTTCCCTACAAACTAACCTCCCTATCACATACCGTATTATACTCTCTCTTCCACCGGCTTCCATCATTTAGCTCGAATCATATTCATTCCTGCATATTACTATTTCAACCATGGCCTCCCCCTCCTCCCCATCCACTCCCTCTCTCACCAATTTACCCCCCATGCCTCCTTCGCCAACTCATTCATTCGCCTCGACAGCCTTCCCAACGGCTTCGTTGAACATCCCCGCACCGCCTCCCCCGCTGTTGCCGAAGAGCTTCCTGACGAGGGCCGACGTGGCGGCTTCGATAGCGGCTTATGAGGAGCTCCTCGATTCTGCAAAATCCTATAGGAAGTCTCTAGCTACAGTAGCGGCCGCTGCATCCGCATTTGGTGCAGCGTTAGAATCATGTGCAAAATGTAGCTTTATGTCCCGTGAATAATAAAGGATGCTACACTGACTGACACCTTTTTTTTCTTTTTTTCTCTCTCATGTCTAGGCAAAGGAGCAGGTGACACCGCTGACGGTCTGATGAACGCCGGGGGTCTCCAATACCTGATAGCTAGCAACACACACATCCTCTCGGAGAGCTTATACAGAGGCTTCGAAGTGCCGTTGCTCCACGAATTGGACGGCTACAAGGAGAAAACAGCAGAGAATGAGGAAAGGTACAAGAAGGAAGCGAGCGAGAAGAGCAAAGAGCTGCGAAGGCGAGAACAGGAGCACCTGAAGCTGGCAAGACAGAGAAAACGGAGTGGGTATTCCCGATCCCTTTTTTTTGAGAACAAAATGGTGCAGCTTTCGACGTGGAACCAACCAGCAGCAGCTGATGCACACGAAGACCTCTCTGCGTTTCGCAGCGCTCTGGTGGACCTCACGCGCCAGATAGATGAACTGGACAACCTCAAGTACGCGCACTACCGGGAAGCACTAGCTCTCTCACAGGAGACCTCCACACGGATACTGGACTCCTCGGCGCTAGTAGTCCGCGCCGAGATTGAGATATTTGAGAAAATCGCGCAGAAGGGGTGGGATTCCTCTGGTGGTCTGGACGACTTGATATCCCGCTCCGCGGACCCATTCGCACACGAGTCCAGCGGGGGCGTCAATGGCCAAGGCGAGATCTTCTCTATCCTACCGAGCCAGAGCATCCTACCAAGTCCACAGAGTCCGGGTATGAGCCGGCCAGACTCCATAGATGACGGTCATGGCGGTGGTGGCAGCAGCACCACCACAACAGCCGGCGCCAGCGCCACAGATGGAAGGTACCAAAGCCTGACAGGTGCCCTATCCAACCACGGCGACTTTGACGATTACGATGACGATGATGTGAGGAGTATATTCTCTGGGGGCTTCTCGAGCCCGGAATTAGGTGGCAATGGCAATGGCAATGGCAGCGGCCTCGGTAGAGGAGCGGGGAGAGTCGGAATTCCACCCTTTTCACCATCCGCCAGCAGTGCTGGTTGGGTAACCAGAACCAACTCGGCCCACGCTGACAGCACGCCACTGAATCCACCTATATCTCGCGTGGAGGGGGACGTGGGGATGAGTAGGGAAATAACTACTGCTACTACCCGCGGGCATGAGGAAGACGACGACGAACAGATGGAAGATGAAGGCAGCGTGGGGACTGATACTACCGTATAAAAATCATGGCTATGAGCCACGATGATCTAAAAAGATGAATAAATGAGCTGTTTTATTTTATAGAGGGAGGTAGTGTTTGTTGTGGCCTCAATTGGAACACCCAACAGCACTCACTGGGTTGGATCGTGTTACGCCGTTCCCTCTTTTCCCCCTTTTCGTGTCAGGTGTTATGGAGTATTTACTGTTTGGGCAATATGGGCTTGTTCTTTTCAATTTTGTTCTTCTCTTCCATCTCATTTTCATCTCTCACTCATATACACCCCCTCCACACGCACAGTTATTCTAGCACTAGTAGCAATCAAGGCATGAAGCAAGGAAGGAAGGAGCTTTACCATGACCATGTCTATTTTGCGTAAATAAGCATGTAATAACCCAAACCACCTGATCGCGATATTGCTCGTGATTAAATGGCGGTTGTGGACGCAACTACTATTGCGCGTCAGCTGGATCGGACCCGAGAAAAAGAGTCGAAAATTAGATCAAGCATCATAGTAGGAGCAGTCCACGCACCACTAGTAGTACCGATAGCTATGTTCACAAACGTTAAAAAACTACGAATACTCGAGTACTGGTCTAATCTGCACATTGCGGGGGAGGCCTTAAAGTGGATCACCAATGATATTCTTTGGCCCAGCAATACACGCCAATCGGCGCCAAATGTGGCTAACCATCAGTCTATTCCCGATTCTTGGCAGATCAGAGCGCCTCTCTGCGGTTTCAGCAGCTAATACGGTAATCGGGAGCAACAAGTGGGGTTGAAAAAGCGAGTGGGGACGCGCAATTTTACAACAAAGACAGCAGATTTCGTACCAAGATATTCCACTAGGAGAAAAATTTACAAAATACAATCCATAGAACCCGCTGAAAACAGTGATGGCATCATCTTCCTCCATATACAAGTTTTCGACCCAATTCCTAATTCTACAAGGGTAGTAGGCAGCTGAGCTTTCAAATTCCAACGAAAGACAGTTTTTCCACCGAAAAAAAAACAGTCCTGGCGAAAGTTTGAGGGAGGAAAGTTTTGCTCTCTATAGCTATTATACCACTCTTCAGAGAATCTAATTCCCATTTTTATTTCGAGGTTGTAATTGGAGTCAAATGGTCTATATCTCTTCCGAACACTCTATGAAGTCATCCCATTCTTGATATCGTACAGGTATCATATTGGTTGCTAGAATAAGCCTGTGAGGTTGGTTGTTTTCGGGGTAAACTGCGCTGTACGAGTACTGTACCCACTCACCCCTTTCGACCACACTTGTAATGTACGGTACCGCAGAGAGAGGGAGTGAGGAAACTACCGTAAAACAAAGGTCTACAGTAGTTTGAGCCATCCATCGGCAGTTTAGGATTAGGCAACTTGCCTTGTCGAACCTTTGCTCCCCACCATGCGTAGATATAGGAGGGAGAATGTGTAGGGTCGACCCGGCTTGTTCACGGGAGTCGAAAAATTAACCATGTTTTTTTTTTTTACCTGGCGGCGTTATATCATAGTAAAGGCGGTGCTTGTTAGTCTGAGTGAAATTTCTCGACGGTCAGTCGGGAAAGCAAAAAGTCAGATCTTATTTTTTCATCATAATATTATTATATAAATTCGTAGCTGTGTTGTTCCAGGTTGTGCTCATGCGCTCTGAAACATGTGCTACCGCTTTGGGCATGGTTGGATGGGGGAGTGGAGCTGCTCCGGGTTGCTCGAGAAATATGAAATAATCTCTACGGAGTAGGGGGCAAATGGTGATGATGATAATAAAAAAGACATCTCACTCCCTCTTGCCACACAAACGCTTATACAACCTTCACAGCAGGGGGGGGGAGGGGGGGGGGGTAGGAGGGGGACATGCTTCGACGGAAGAACATATTGAACGTTCAAGAGCAAGAATGTGACTCAAGGTGTCTCTCAACTACCGCCTTGTGACGTTCCCGAAGATTATATAACCGTTTCTCCCATTTGTCGAGTGATATTTGGTGATGGTGCCAAATCGTTCTATCGTGCGAGTAGGAAAACGATGCATAGTATCATAACTAGTCAAATTTCACTGTGGGCTATCATAGTTTTGGACGACTAGCAAATAAGGGCACCCTCCACCCAATCTAGAGTCGATTGTAATTAATTATCCAACTCTAGCTACCGGGACTCGGGTACTGTGATCACACGGTGAATATCCCAATAGCCTGCACGATTGCTGGGCTGCCATTTTATGACCATCAGACACCAGTAGATACACTGAAAGATGAGGTTTCTCCTGTGATATATATCGTAGGAGAGGGGTGCAGCATGGTGACCCCCCCCCCCTTATATGCCATGTGCCATAAGATGTGATTCAGAGGCCGTTGGGGACTCAATGGCACCGAGGCACATAATATACCTTCTGCTCACCAAATGCTCCTGCTCAGGTAAAGAGCTAAGACTATTCCTTGCCCCGATTCTGTTGTTCCATTGTGAAAGAGGTTTTTGGCAAGTATTGACTAAGATAAAGAAGAGGATTATAGAGGAAATGGATTTAGTCAAGTCCCCAGAATCACAGTACAGTATAGTAGATACTCCATATGGCAATCTAGGCACGAGCAATCGATTTTTTTTTTTTTTCCATCATTGACGACCAATGGTGAGGTTTTGACCTTTACAGGCCCAAATTATTATTATTTAGCGAGATATGATATGCTTTCAGGGGTTCGTAAAGCTTTGGAAGAATGGGGGGGGGGGGGGGGGGCATCTGTTGCTCCTTGCTTGTTTGTGTCTGTTTGATCCTTTTTTCCATCTACCCCTTTTCTCTCTCTTCCCCTTTCTGGTTTCGGTTTTGTACAGGCGTAACTTGGGTAACAGATAAACTTATCTACAATGAACCGCTGGAGGGGGAGAACGAGGAAGAATGAAATACGGGCACACCGGGAAAAACACGAAATCCCCATCCGGTTTTACGGGAAAACTTGGCTTTTGGTAAGAAGAAAAAAAGGTGAGTATTTTCTCCTATAATATCCATGTGTCAGGTGGCAGCACTCCGAAAGCTGAAACCGGAGGAGAGCGACCACATGAAGATTAGTTGGACAAGGTAGCTGTATAGGAATAAGAACTGTGTTCTCCGGTTTCTCTGCGTGCGGTTGACGGCGTAGGTGGTGCTCCGGGGGTTATCTGCTGTGGTGTCTGGTAGGAGGACGTATTTCAAGCTTCGAAGCTGTAGATCGCAATTGATAAGCAATTAGTGCTTTTTCCTCTCCCACCGTAGGCCACTGGTGGGAAGGACAAACCAAAAAGAAAGCATTTGCATTGAAAGCATAGCCGAAAACCAAGTACTCCAACCACTTTGACCCCAGCGTTGTGATAGTCAAGGTGACAATTATCCCCACAAACTTGTAGCCTGAGTATGCTACCAAGTCAAGCAACTGACTGTCGTTATCGATGTTCAACAAATAGCATCCGATCTTGATAATTATAATCTCTAGGATGACGATCGTGAACGCGAATGAGGCTGTATAGCCAAGTTGCTCCGGGTTGAACCTCCCAGCAAGGCCGTAGAGGAGCGTTGACAAGAGTATGTAAGTTACGAACGCCATTACTGCTAAACATTAGCCCAATCAATCAACAATGATGAATGACGAGTGGCATACCTGGAATATACATATCCGGCGAATTAATGTCCTCCCTCGGCGGCAGAAAGTACCCTTCCATCTGCCCACTTGCGCTAGTCCTCTGCGATCCACTCCTGGACCAAGGTTTGTGCCGCCATGGGAATAGCACCAAGCCTAGCTTCTGCAAGACATACCCATTCGAAACGTTGAAGTAATGCTTTAACGCGCTGACTTGCAGGTATTTGCCCAACTATTCATCCCTTCATTAGTCCTCCGAAATATACTAATAGGGTGTAAATACTGCCTACATTCTGCTCGACATACTGCCCCGCCACCTCCGTTGCCCGCCCCCCGACCTGGAAGGCCATCTGCGTCGTCGGATCATTAAGGAAACCATACGCAGGATGTCCCATTGCAGGGGTTGGCGCATATGTGTTCCCATAAGCACTGGAAGCTTGCAGTGGCGGCGGGGAGTGCATCACTGGAATCGGGACATGGTGTTGGGGGACTGGATGGTGGAGGGGAGGAGAGGCGGCGGTATTTGGAGGGTAGTTGCCTCGTTGCATAGCTGCCCCTTCTTTCTTCCTCTCACTACTCAGACTCTTGGACTTCGTGATTCTCGGCTGTGGTATCGACTTGGGGTGCGAGGGAGACAGGTGGTCCGTTGCAGCGGGAGGGGGGATGCTAGGGAAGGTTGTGCGAGAAACCGACAGTAAATTGTGACGAAAGTTGAGAATTGGACAGATAGTTCCTTTTGGAGAGGGTAGGATTTTTATTGCTGTTTGGGGATAGGCGAGTGATACAGTATGGCGTGTACGCGTGGGCTTGGTGGAGGTGATCACACAAATAGGGTCAATCCGCGGTTGCGCCTCCGGAGGGGGTCTGGTGCCAGTGAATAGCAGGCGATAAACGTGGGAGACCATGGGTCGCGGGGGCGTCACCTGCGGTATGTTGCTTCCACAGGGTTAGAATATTTGCTTCGTAGAGTTCCTGGGATGGTTTCGGGCAATGTGCGAGTGATCAGCTATGATACATCACCGAGCCATCCGCCTAAATTCTACTGCAATGGGTCGGGCCGCGAGATCCTTTCGGTAGCTGCAGCGGATTTATGGTACCGTATTGTTCATTGTGAGCTCTCAGATGGCCTAGGGCTCATTTTATTAATTCACCCGGTTATGTTCTAGCACCCCAAGGTATCCCCCTTAAGAAAATGCCGATCTATTGAAAAACCCGTGAACCTGCTTTCCAGCATCATCTCCGATCAATGCAGCTATATCTTTCTCCTCCATATTACTGAGCTCAACCAGGTTCTCCACCTCTGACATGATGGTCTTGATATTCTTGGGGTCAATCCCGGGTATTGATCGTAGGACTTCCTATCCGTCCTTTTAGTACTGTATTTAACACGGGCAAGAGTTTAGGAATACCTGGGGTGTCCGGTTGTAGACGCCAGCAATTTCTTCGCCCGGCTCGAGTCCAAGTTTAATTGCTTCCAGTGGGTCTGGCTCCTTCTGATTTCTCTTTAATTCCTCAAAGATCTCGGCCGTTTGGTAGGGACTCGAGGACCAGATTAGCTTAACCTTGGGGAAGGCTATAGTTAGCAGCACTATTTTTGCCTGGAGATCGTGCTGGCCCATATTTCCCGTGAGATCCGCGAAGGGCTGCACAGTTCTGTTAATGCCATAGCTGTACGTCTTGTCCGATACTGGATACGGACAACATACCTCCAGGTTGAACGATTTATTTTGGTCAAACTCAATGAGCACCATGGGGTTCTTGTAATATAGTAGCATGTTCTCGCACTGGGTGTAAAGCCTTCCATCCTTAAATGAAGATATTAAATCCTGGACTGACTTTCTTTCAACGCATATGTCTGGAGAGAGAATGTAATCTCCAACAGTCAGGGTGCAAGGGACGACCTCAACATTTCTCCCGTGCAATAGAGATGGCAGCGAACTGCGAAACTCTCGTATATCTACAATTACCTGAGAATATGTTAGATACCTCGGTAATCATAACACCACGCAGCTCAGACATACCCTTGGCGGGACAGCAGTCGCCGCTACACGGCCGCCCCCGGCTATCCTAGTGTTTACTGTTCTAAGGAAAGCCTCCTGCGGGTCCTCGACGGCTTTTGCATCCAAGGTGAGGGTGACGCTCATGCTCTGAGGAGGCTATTAGGTTTGTACAAACAATGGATCATGTGCGTAACATACTCCTTTCTCACGGACCAACTTGGTGAACGAATCCTTTTCTTTCCGTATGGTGCTTAAATACCTTTGTTCTTCCACGGACTTGCCATAGTACAGGAAGTATACCCTAACCTCTCGGTCTTTGTGTGAACTGCGGTAGACCTATAAACCTGCATCAGACCTTCCGTCCGGGGCGTGCACAGTTTGGATATATATTACCTCTATTCGCCGAATGAAAGAGGGGTCGGGCTCGTACATGATGACATATCTAGGCCGAAGCTCATCCAGCAAGCGTTCATCCATATCTCCATCATAGGGGTGGACCACAATGAGATCATTCATTTCATAAAACTCATAATAGTCTTCCATGTTCTCGAAGGAATCTGCTCCAATTTCCTGCTTTAGATTCTGCTCTCCTTCCGTCGGCTGAACGCCGGCAAGCAAAGCAGCAACCTGTGCGGATTGCTCTTCCGTTACCTGGACCGCCCCAGCATTTTGACGGTTTGGTCCACTAGCCGCCGCTGCACCTCCCCGAACTCTCCGTCGTTTGTTTGGAGGGGGGCCTCGACCTCGGAAGCTCTCATTGCTGGGTATTTTGTTCACTGGGCCACCAAAGTTTCCCTGGCCTTGGCCTTGGTTCTTCCGCTCCCCGGTATATAACAGAGCGCTGAGCTTTGCAAAATCTGGTTTCCAAGCGAAATATGCTCGCAGCTTCCGCCGCATCATATAGGCCGCAGAAGCCCGGCTGGGCTTCTCCAGCTCACCATCCTGGTTTATAAGGTCTTCCAAGGGTGTCTCGTGCATAGTCTGAAGGAATTCGCGTATCTGCCTACAGGTACTTTCGTCACCGCACATTATCAGTGTGCTCCTGGGGGACTGACTGAAAGCCGGATTAAAATAGCCATCGTTTTCAATTTCACCAAGCACCTCTGCTAGCATCGCCCATTTTGGAAGCTCCTCTAATGTTGGTTCAAGCCCGTGCGGCACTTTCCCTGGGACCTTCTTGCTTAAATCTGCCTTCCCTGTGTAAACTCTCCGTTTCGCAAGAGTGAATATCGTATGTGCAGCGTCAAGGAACAACCAAGGTGATTGGGACGAACGGGTGGAACCTGGCGGGGGTGCATGTGTTGCAAGAATCGTTTCCAGGTATTGATAAAAAGTCACACAATCGTATGTCAAAAGACAGCTTTTCCGCAGTCAGCATCAGAATCCATCAGGCTAAGGTATGGCCGAGTGAAATACTGTAGTATCCTCCTAAGAACGGTCAAATCATTGACTATTTGTTTCGTCTTCCAGCTAATCCGGTGCCATACGGGGTCTAACTGCCGCCGTACAACGACATCAAAAGATTTATGGAGTGCACTATCAATGGTCCAATCGTCCAGATCAAGAGAACTATTCGACTTCCTCAGCTCGCTAATCGAAGTCTCAATGCACTCCAACACCGCAGTCTGGATTTCTCGCATTGAGTCAGTCATTGCGACCTCAAGCTCCACTACCTCTGCCGTCTTGGTTTCGAGCGATTTCGCAACAGTTACATGGAACCTCGGCCATAGTGAGGGTGATCGCAAGAATAAGTTTCGCATCATAGTAGCCAAAGGAGAGAAACCAGTTGTGAAAGGCTCTGGATTGTCTGAGAAAGCTTTGAGGAATCCTTCTTGATTCTTTTGCCTATATATTCGGAGAATAAAAGCTTCGGTGGAAGTCGCAATGACCCTAATGACCAGTTACCTTCCATCCACTTGATAGATAGGGAAAATCAGGAGCCAACCTCTCAGAATGAAGAACTACCACTCCAGATATCTTCGGGCAGTCCATCAAGTCTGTCAGCATATCCGTTACCAGAATCCTCGAGGTGACCGAGAATATGCCGCCCTGCTTGTACATCTCCGCCCTAACGAATCAGCACCTGCATTTCAGCCACTATATTCCAGTTCCGCACGGCACACCTCGCAGAGACACTCGCAACTTCGGTGTTTATAATTTTTAAGCCCCTCGCCTCTGTGGCTCCTGATCTTACCGCATGTTCAGCGAGAGCTATGGGCCATTAGTTCTCATATGTCTGGTTTTCCTGCCAAGTGGCGAACAAACCTTCACCGAGCCATCCATTCTCTCTATCATCTGCGCCAATCAACAACACGAGGTTGTTCCCAACAGCATCATATTTATGTAGCAGACTTGTGACAATATGTAGCAGGCCGAGACCTCTAGCAAGGATGACAAGTTGGTCCTGCTCACAGACTTCTTCAAATAGATCTTGTTGGTAAGCCTAATAATGTTAATACTAAGACAGCTACTCCTGAGTGTAGCGTACTCACAAGTGGAAGTGAGACTCTGGGTTGTGACGAGGCTGGAGTAGACATTATCGGGGGTTGCTATTGAGTAAGGCAAAAAAAGCGGTACCTCGCAGGGCACTGGTATCTTATCAACGCGCTTGTGGGAAGACGCGATGAGTCTACCGGTAAAGTGGGCTTGGCAGGACGTGACAATTTTTGCTTCGTCTACGAGTACTCGAGAAACTTACCATAGCATAGCAAGCCCAGCTGGACACCTGAGATGCAAGCGCAATGGTGTCCGAACAGGAAAATATGGGATTCACATTGAAGAGGCACAAGACACATAATTCCAACATCCAAGAATGGAGTGGGTATATAATATATTGACTATCCAAGCAAGACTTTTTGGGAAATTGGGAGATAAACAGAGCTACCCTATATGCCCCAAGGCAATTCATGTCATAATCAACTATTCCTACCGGGACTTCAAAAAGTCAGCCAGCCCAACAATTCGAAAGTCGAAGAGAAGAGAACACAACAAAAGAAACAGTCCTCAGTGATCTTGGTGTAAAAGGTAAAGCGCATCTCCCGAAGGATCGCATACTATCTATGTGCATAGAGTGTAATCATTGGACAGAAGATGGGGGGGGGGGCATACGGGCGGGAAAATTTAGGGAGCAAAGAAGTACACACCAAAATTGAAAAGAAAAAAGGAAGGCCTGTAAGCTAGTGGTTGGCCTCGGCGGGGTCGAGAAAACTTTTATGAATTTGATCCCTAAAAGCCTGGGTAAATTGAGCGGTTAGTCTATTTTCATCAGGAATTGACGAGGAACGGAGGGGGTTGGAGAGAAGGGGGTGTAAAAGTCAGAATATGTAAGAAAGATATCAATTGCGCCAACGCCGCATAATGAAACCAGGCGTGGAATCGCGAACAAAGGCACTCAATCGCAAATTATTTCATCATGCGAATGGATATGAATGGGTAGAGTGGAAAGCAATTGAGTGGGATAACAGACATACCAGTAAGTATACCAGGACGCAGGCGTGCCGGAGGGAAAGTAAGACGGAAGGCGTAGTGTTGATGATGATTAACTAAGACGAAGTCGGGAAAAAGGAACATGAAGTAGTTGATGGTGTTGCTGCAGCTGACAGCCCGCTCTTTGGCTGAAAAGGAAACTCAGGTCGAAACCCTAAAGATCTAAAAGCTGTCACCACACCACACGCACGAAAACCTGCGCTGCCGCAGTATCATACTTTCGGAATTTCAAGCGCTAGCAAATCTCGAGATTCAACAATCAAAACGCCCCACAACATATTCGACCTTCACGATCAGCACCACAAACACCACCGCCAGCCTATCTGTCTGGAGAAAATATCCGCGATGAGCTGCGATGTTAAGACCACCCAATGGCGGTATGTTTCACTCCCTTACCACTCCCGACCGACCGAGGGGAGCGAGAACCCCGCACGGGAACAACTACAAGGAGGAGGGAAATTTTTCCAAGGTAATATCGAAGTGCTGATTGTGAGAATTTGGATAAATCTAGCCTCGTTGAGGTCGGCCGTGTCGTCCTTCTTAACAAGGGCCCATACTGCGGAAAGCTGGCTACTGTCGTTGAGATTATCGACCACAAGCGTGTATGTTCCCCCTACACATACATATCCAATCTATCAAATACATCTCAAAGGAGTTCTGACCGTCTTCGAAACTTCGATAGATCCTCATCGACTCCCCCACCATCCCCCGCCAGTCTTACTCCCTAAAGAATGTCACCTTGACACCCATCGTCATCGACAACCTGCCCCGCGCCGCCCGCAACGGCATCGTCAAGAAGCTCTGGGAAAAGTGCGACGTAGACACCAAATGGGCCGAGTCCTCCTGGGCCAAGAAGATCGCCTCCAAGGAGACCAGGAGAAACCTGAGCGACTTCGACAGATTCCGTGTTTTGGTTCTTAGGAAGCAGAGGAGGTATGAGATTAGAAAGGCTGCTGCAAAGGCTTAATGTTTGTGGAAGTTTTTCTTTCTCGGTAATGGGTGGGGGCTTTCTTTGTTGTGGAAATCAAAATAAATTCTCCTGGTGATCAAGGGATATATCTCTTTTTTTCTCTTTCATCCCCGCGTGGGATATTGGGGCCGTTTCGCTCCGTGAGCCTGGTGGTGGAAGTGATGTTTTTTCCACTGCCAGCCAGCCGGGCATTGTATAATTCAAAAGATGCGGGAGATACGGGCTCTATCTGATTCCCTGTCTGGGGTTCTTTTTGTAGTGTTAAACGGGATATAAATACATCCTTTTTTCGACAATCGAGGTGCCCAACAGTAGCACTTGAGCTGCCAGTTCTGAGGGCAAGGGAAAGCTTGGGATTCAAGTCTGAGCGCCCCTGTGCCTCCAAGTTATCGCGATAGCTTCAGCCTGCGGTACAAGTGAACTGCTACCGATATTTAGATGGTTATCACAACACTATAGCTGGAGGCATCCTCCGCATCGGAATAGATTCCCATTACCGAAATCCCTTTTGTCTAACTACTATAGCCCCCAAGCCCCACGGCCCCATCTATCCGAATAGAAATGCCTCAAACCCACTACTAAACCTAGCCCATCAAACCCGATGGTATGAAAAAGAGAAATAAAGAAACAAAAACAAGCCGATGCAACAAAATGTATGATACATGGCTCTGCGTCAGATGACTCCATCTCAAAGTCGAACTTCCTCAAATCCCTCCTCAGGTTTTCCCGTGTCTGTAACCGGCGTCTCTGGATCAAGAGCTGTAGGTGTAGGTCTTCCGTTACCCAAAGTCACGAAATCAGCAGCCTCCTCTTCAGCGCTATGTTCAGAAGGCGCCTTCTCCTTCTTCTGATCTTCCTCCGGGCCTCCCTGCTTATCCTCCCCCTTCTGTGTCTCTTCTTCCCCCTCCTCCTCAGGCCTTGTGACGGGAGCAGGGCTCTCCTGCCTAGTCTCTCTTCTCTCTACGGGTGGAATTTCGTGCCTGCTATCCCGTCTCTCCGCAACTGGGGCTGCAACTGGAGTTGTAACTGGGCTTTCCGTTATGCTCTGCATGGGTCGATGCTGCTGCTGAGGACGGGAGCCCTGTTGCTGAAGCCCCTGCCTCATCCTACTCACATCTGCACCTAGATAGAATTGCCTAACTCCCACGATCCTCCCTTCCTTCTCACAAGCATGCAGCCATTCCGGTCTAACAACAGGAATATTCATCTCCTGCGCCCTTTCCCAATTCTGGCCACGTCCCTCCGTACAAACAAAGTGTGTTGTGTCGATTCTAACAAAATCCTGGAGTGGCTTGGCCCCAATCCTCTGAAGTGTAGTTTCGAGTTCCTCCCTAGTCTCTCCGGGCATGACGCCAGGGCATACCGTGATACCGGAGAGGTCGGTCATCTTGTGGGTTCTGACGGCTAGCTTCTCGCTGGAGTAGGTACCTGCACTGGTTCGCAAGACGAGATGGAAAGAGTATTCGGTATCCAATGCTAGTCCGCTGATCTTTGTAGATGTGTGGGTTGTTGGGTTCGGGATAGCCCCGGCCTTTGAATTATTACGGTAGAGGGTCAAACTTCTGAGGGTGGCTGTAGCTAGTTGGACCGGATCCCACTCGAGCACAACAGATGTCTGCGTGGCATTCCTAACACGCAGGATGGGTTTTGAAGGAGAATGGATCCCATAGAGGTTGTAGATCTCCTCCTGGAGAGAATGGAAGGCCTCTCTTGCTGCGTTCTCGGCTTCTGTGTTCTGCGAGATCTGAATATCGACTATTGAGCCGGATGCGATTCCAGAAGGTAAAAGGACGGAGGGGAATTCGATCTTGACTTTGTCAGTTCCATAAATACCCTCCTCCGGCGGGGCTACCTGCCCGCAAGTAGATGCGGCCAAACCTACCAATCGTTTCTCCTCGGTAAGAAGGATGGCTAGGCCGGCATCGACCTTTCCAACGGTAAGCGAAACTAGCATTGTGGGAGGAGAGCTCTGGATGATAGAAACATAGAATTGAAGGAGAGAGTTGTGGTGATATCTCGTAGGTGGTCGGTGTAGATGAAGCGGATAAGTTTAGTGCGAAGTCCAAACACGCGGGTTCACTTCCTCCCTCGTCTCCTAAGGAAATTCCTTGGCATTAATATCTGGGGACTCACCATTTTAATTTATGGGGGCGCGTTTGGTCACCCTCGGTTCGGGGAAGTGCTGAAATCACAAAACACAAGTTGCAACCTGCAGCTGCAATGTAATTATCTCAAGTTCACATAATCTGTCCGGATGGTAGTATCTGTGGTGAGTCTGGTCGACACACAGATAAAAGCCAAGAAATATACAAAAAGAAGGTATTGGCATCTAAGCTTTGAGGTTTGTTTTTTTCTATTGTTTATTGCTAGTTGTTGATGGTGATGGTGGTGTTGTTAAAGTGTCTGTGTACTTATTGAAGAGCTTTTCATAATGTGATTTTGTGAAGTATTGGTTTTTTCTATACGAGTATTTTGGATATGGTTCCGGCCGTCTATACACAACAGTTCGATTGATGCAACGGGGGACGCTTGGGAATTAGGTATAGGGTTAAAAAAGTGTTAATTCGGTTCAAGTCATAATCATGGAAGACTTATTTTATAATATTATTTTTAATTAAATGACAAAAGAAAAGAAATAAAGGAATGTGATAAAGAGAAGCAAAAGAGAGAAATAAACATAGGAAAATGAACAAAGGAAAGGAGACAAAGGAAATAAAATAAAGGAAAAGTGAAGGAAAGGAAGAAATATGCTCAAGAGACATCAGATCTCTGATGAGATTTGTACCTTTTAGAAACCAGGTTTTTATAACTTTGAGAACCATATACCTCACCAGATTCATAAGCAGCAATTATTCTCTGTGTTTTAGTATGATATTTCCAGATAAGAGTATTTGGAACTTGTGCTAGGGCTTCGGGAACTAAGCGCTGAAGGGAGGGGAAGTCATACCTGCAATTCAATCTTGTATATCTTTTGGCTGCACCCCAGAAATACTCAATGAAGTTGAGCTCGTAGTGAAAGGCTGGGTAAAAAAGAGTCATATGCCCTGCAGCCTCAATAGCTTCTTCAAGTTCTCCCCTTTGAGCTTTAAAGTCTGGTTGAGATGCAAGGAGTGCCTGAGTACAGCAGGTTCCTCCTTTTAAGTATCTTGGATTTGGTGTTGTATTTCCTGCTGGAGTTTTAATACTGCATTGTGTCAGAAAGCGCTCACCAGTTGTTGGCCATAGACCCCTTTCTGTTAGTACTGTTTTGAGATCCTTTGGGGTTCCATCTTCAAGTACCATAGACTGGAAATATCCCCCCTGTGGATGTGATCTGTCCAATACATAACTTGTATGCATTTTCTTTGCATGTTTTCCCCCATCTGCCAGATTCATTTTGGAAACCCACAATGCATCGTCAGCATATTTACTATGTGTCTTTGCATTATCAAAAAGAAAGAGGGCTCTGCATCCTGGAAACTCAGTTTCAAAGAGTGGTATTGCTTTTGTCTTAATCTGCTCCAAAAGCTTCTCCCCATCCCACCAAATATCCCCTCCACATTTCAATATCTCACATGCAGCTCCATCTCCAAGTCTTCCAATTGGAGTTAGGAGATCGGAAACATGTAGTCCTTGACCTCTACCTTTCTTACGTAATGGCTGATGATCTTCGTGTGTCCAAATGAAATGTCTACCATCATTAGCATTAAAGGTGCACTCATCTTGAGTGACCATTACTACAGGAGCTAACTCTCCAGAAAGCAGTTGTTGGTTACTAATTGGACAGAGATCTTGATCCCACTTTATCAGAGCTGGTTGCATTTCTTTCAGAAATGGTAAAAAGATCTCATTCCGATACTGTTTCACATCATCACATTCATGGCCATTATTATAGACCCCTTTACGCACTTCTTTCCACTTAAATCCCAGCTTTTACAGCCACCGCCAGCTGCTGCGACTACTAATAGTTTTGCGGATTTCACGTACCAATCGTCCTGTAGCTGGAGGCACAACAGAATCATTCATTTCTGCCAGGTGGCGGCTAATTGCTTGAGCCATACCTATTGAATCTACAGCTATTATTCTATTAGTATTATCATTGTAAGGGATATACCTATATAGGACTTACCTTCACCAGCCATTCCGATATACTCTTGTACTGCTAAGAGTGTACTTTCATCCTCAAGCAGACTGGCGATCTTTGGATGTTGGCCTCTTTGCGGAACCTTGATTACTCTATCCTTGATCCAAGTAACCTCATTTTTCATAATCTCGCGCGAGGTCCACTGACCTGCTTCCTCACCATCTGCTACTTGTTTTGCTAGCTGTTTTCTTGTCTTAAACAAGATGAATTCAGGTCTAATTGACCAATTACATTCTTGAAGTGCTTGAACTTTCATAAAGTTCAAGACTTGAATATACTTCATTAACGCATTACCTGAAATCTTAGTACTCTTGCTGCGTGGGTGAATAATCTTTTTGATATCCTGAATACCTTCATTCAGGATTCGGAGTCTGACATGAGAAGGAACTCCCATCTTTCCCAATCGTCGAGGCCAGTATATCAGAGCCTTTTGATAAGGTTCATTATCTACCCCTGGTACTACTTGAGGAGAGTCTATACTCTTAGTACCTGGTATGAAATCAGCACTAGTAGTTTCTATTCCTATACTAATACTACTAGGCACACTAGGCTGAACTTGTTGTACTGGGCTTACTGCTTGCGACTGGAGCAGAGCAGATTGACGTTGTCGTTCCCGCCATTGTCGTGATCGTATCGTGCTAGGAGATATACCAGTAGTTAGTGAGTTGTTTCTTGGAGATACATTTACCTGCTGGGGTGCTTTGGCTGGTAGTTCAGACACTAATAATGCCGGAACAGTGGAGGCCAGTTTAGCTAAACGGATTCGCTCTCTGCGGGCTCAACTGGGCAGGGTTGATGGATTTACAGAAACTGACATTACAGTACTTCATTCACTACGATGTGAGTTTGGGTTTCTGTAGATGCCAATTGTAACAGTCAGTTCCAAAATCACTTGATATCTGTTCAAAAACCAGTAAAAAAGAATTGTGATTATCAATTAAATTATTTTCATAAATCCATACTATTTAATATTATGTTACATTTTAAATATGATGTTATAACTCTTAAATTATTAATTAAAGGTCAAATAAATATCAAAATAAGTTTACTAAAAGTAGGAGTTGAACCATGTTAGTGATCTTTTTAACCCTATATCTCATTCCCAAGCATCCCCCGTTGCATCAATCGAACTGTTGTGTATAGACGGCCGGAACCATACCTTCATTTTGAGCTTATTATAGCATTTTGATTGTTGGATTTTGGTGACAACCAGACATGCCACGCCAGATCAAAATAGAGTTTTGCTGTAAACCTCTATGTTCAAGGTCAAAACGAAGGTTGGGTATGATAACTAGATGTGCTCTAAGCTGGTGCTCTCTATGCCCCGTTACGCTGGATGCCTGCCATATAAGAAAACATCATACAAAATTACCACGCATAGGAAAGTATCTACTACTAGTAGGTCATACGATCGGTACATAGAAAGGCGGTAGCAAGGTGCATGAAGCAAGTGCTTACGGGTCCCGTAAAACTTTTATTGAAGGTATTTAAAGACATCATAGAGTGCTACGCTCCCCGCTGCCTGAGTACCTACATAGATCCATTTACGAGTTCAAGTTAGGAAGCCCAATAAATCTCATAAATCGGTTTCTGCGCTCTTCTACCATCCCACCCTGCTGCAAGCCTAGAGCCAGAATCAGAGGATCAAGTCTGTCGGCTATATCACTTAATTTAGACAAAATCTCCCTTCCCGGAATTGTATAGCCTTAGACACTTACCAAGAAGACCCCTAGCAATTGAAACCGTTGCCGGAAAGTTGTGGATCAATTGCCCATCAAAGCCATAGAATGGCTCTAGGGGTGTAGATGTACGAAGAGCGCTTTGGTTGTAAGTTCGGGCGATTGCATTTCTCTCTCTAAAATCAGTTACTCGAGTACGTTGTTTGTTAGCCATCGATGGGTATGAACAAAAATGAATATAGAATAAACTTGCAGTCTAGAGCTTTCATTCACGAGCCACTGTCCCTGTAGCTGAAAGTTCGCTAGCGCTTGTAGGAGGCCTACCTGTCCGTCCTGGAGGTCGGCTTGCCCTTGCTGGAGGGTTTGCTGGGTATCGGCTAGTTCTTGTTGGAGGTTTGCCTGTCCTTCCTGGAGGCCCGCGAGTCCTGGTTGAAGATTTTGCTGGGTCTTGACTAGGGCTTGCTGGGTATCTGCTAGTTCTTGTTGGAGGTTTGCCTGTCCTTCTGTCACGGCCACCCGGTGTACTGGACGTGGAGGAACATTGGACTTTTGGTTGCATATATCGGCTGTGGTTTCGTTGGTTGCATTGTAGGATTTCCTTTGTATTATGATTGGGATAGGTTGCCACGCGACGGAACCTGGCGGAACATGACGGAAGGATCGCGGCTGCGCGCGACGCCAAGGACTTTCTTTTTGTATTAGTGATCATGGAGGATTTCCTATCTATATAAGGGGGTGTACCCCCTTATACTTTATGTTCTTTACGCAATCTGGTAATCTCCTTCGGACACCTGTACCTAGGAATTACACTCTCTTCTACTTCGCGTCCTCCTGAACCCCTGGACCCTGACCCTGAACCCCCTGAACCTCGAACCTCGTACAACCTCGCTTCGGTTGTACTCCTGTACCTAGACCTCGCCTCCGAACTCTTGCCTGTCCCCGCT